TGGGCCGGATGTAGTGTTCATGCCTGTGATCACAGCACCCTAGGGGCTAAAGAGGAAGGACTGCCTCAAGTTCAAAGCCAACCTGGACCGAGAAGGAAGAGTCTAGAAACAGCAGAGAGGCTGACCAATATGGAGCAGTGCCTGAATCATCACGCTAACACACTGTAACAGCACGTGCTAACTTGCTTCCTGTTGCTGTGCTAAACACCATGACCAAAGACAGCTTGGTGAGTGAAATTTCATCTCACAACCCCAGGTCACAGCCCTTCACTGAGGACGTCGGGGCAGGAACAAAAGCAAAGATCATGGAGGGATGCCTCTTCTTGCACTGGTGATGGAACCTAGGGTCTTGCGCATGTGAGCCAAGCAGTCTACCACTGAGCTATACCCACCCTCGGATAATACTTTGAAAGACAGAGTAAGATCCAAAGTGAGTTATGGCCAGGCATGGTGGCATACACATTTTTTTTTGTTGTTGTTTGTTTTGAATTCTGGGTTTTTGAGACAGGGCTTCTCTGTGTTTTTGGAGCCTATCCTGGAACTAGCTCTTGTAGACCAGGCTGGTCTCGAACTCACAGAGATGCGCCTGCCTCTGCCTCCCAAGTGCTGGGATTAAAGGCGTGTGCCACCACCGCCCGGCTCCCATCTAAGTCTTGATGGGAAACCCTAAAGTTTGATTCCACCTGGCGGCTAACGACCATAGGTAACTCTGACACTCTCTTCTGCCTTTATGGGCACCATACACATGGGGCTCACAGACATACATGTAGGCAAATACCCACACACATGCAATAAAATCAATCTTTTAAAATATACACTAGGGCTGGAGAGATGGCTCAGTGGTTGAGAGCGTTGCCTGCTCTTCCAAAGGTCCCGAGTTCAATTCCCGGCAACCACATGGTGGCTCACAACTATCTGTAATGAGGTCTGGTGCCCTCTTCTTACCTACAGATATACACACAGACAGAATATTGTATACATAATAAATAAATAAATATTAAAAAAAATAAATAAAATAAAATATACACTATATGGGGGCTGGAGAGATGGCTCAGCGGTTAAGAGCATTGCCTGCTCTTCCAAAGGTCCTGAGTTCAATTCCCAGCAACCACATGGTGGCTCACAACCATCTGTAATGAGGTCTGGTGCCCTCTTCTGGTCTTAAGGCATACACGCAGAAAGACTACTGTATACCTAATAAATAAATAAATAAATATTTAGAAAAATAAAATAAAATATACACTATAAAATAAAAAGTAAGTAAAGATATATACTAAAATAGAAATAATAGTTTTCTTTAGCCACTGCTTTTCATTGCTTTTTGTTTTTTTTTTTTTTTTTGAGACAGGGTTTCTCTGTGTAACTGCCCTAGCTATCCTGGAACTAGCTCTTGTAGACTAGGCTGGCCTTGAACTCAGAGATGAACCTGCCTCTGCCTCCGAAGTGCTGGGATTAAAGGTGTGCACCACCTCTGCCCTGTTATTTTTCATTATTTTGTCTGTTTAATTTTTTTTGTGGGGTTTTTTTTTTTTTTTTTTTTTTTGGTTTTTCGAGACAGGATTTCACTGTAGCTTTTGAGCCTGTCCTGGAACTAGCTCTTGGAGACCAGGCTGGCCTTGAACTGACAAAGATCTGGCTGCCTCTGTTCCCCGAGTGCAGGCGCCACCACCGCCTGACTGTCTGTTTAATTTTTAAAGTTCTTCCGTTTGCTGGAAATCGGGGTGTACCTGTCATGGTATGTGGGCAGGAGTCAGAGAGCAACCTGCAGGATTTTTATCTCCTCCTTCCACCTTGTCTATCATGGAGGCTGAATTTGGGTTGTCAGGCTTGGTGGCAGGTGCCTTTATCTATCCAGTTCTGTATTTAACTGTTTAATAATATAGCTTTTACTATATTGTCCAGGCAACCCTCCAGCCTCCACCTCTCAAGTACTGGAATTGCAGGTATGTATGCACCACTATGTCTGGCATTTTTTTTATTTAAATTTATTTATTTATTAAGGATTTCTGCCTCGTCCCTGCAACCGCTTCCCATTTCCCTCCCCCTCCCCCGATCAAGTCCCCCTCCCTCATCTGCTTGAAGAGCAATCAGGGTTCCCTGACCTGTGGGAAGCCCAAGGACTGCCCACCTCTATCCAGGTCTCGTAAGGTGAGCATCCAAACTGCCTAGGCTCCCACAAAGCCAGTACGTGCAGTAGGATCAAAAACCCACTGCAATTGTTCTTGAATTCTCAGTATTCCTCATTGTCCGCTATGTTCAGCTAGTCCGGATTTATCCCATGCTTTTTCAGACCTAGGCCAGCTGGCCTTGGTGAGATCCCAATAGAACATCCCCATTGTCTTAGTGTGTGGGTGCACCCCTCGTGGTCCTGAGTTCCTTGCTCGTGCTCCGTCTCCTTCTGCTCCTGATTTGGACCTTGAGATTTCTGTCCGGTGCTCCCATGTGGGTCTCTGTCTCTGTCTCCTTTCATCGCCTGATGAAGGTTAATATTCATGAGGATGCCTATGTGTTTGTCTTTGGATTCACCTTCTTATTTAGCTTCTCTAGGAACATGAATTATAAGCTCAATGTCCTTTATTTATGGCTAGAAACCAAATATGAGTGAGTACATCCCATGTTCCTCTTTTTGGGATCTGGCATCTTTTAAATAAAATACCTACCAGTTATATACTTAACTACATTGTAGACCAGTTAATTCACTTAGCTGATAAACTGTCAAGAGAATTCAGCCATGGCTCATGGCAGACAGAAAATAAGTTTATTTACACACTACAGTAAATGCTGCAAGCATAGCAGTAACAAAAGAACCATCTCTGGCATTTTACTGGTATTTTATTAAATGTTCCATCAACAAAAATTTACTTTGTGTGTGTGCACTTGTGTGTGTTAGAGACAGGATGTTGCTTTGCAGCCACATCGACCCTGAATCTGTGATCCTCTTGGCTCGGCCTTCCTAATGTTCTGATAACAGGATGGCTCAAATATAATACTTTCATGAAAGGTTAAAGCATCTCTACATGCTGGGCGGTGGTGGCGCAAGCCTTTAAGCCCAACACTCTGGAGACAGAGGCGGGTGAATCTCTGTGACTTCAAGGCCAGCCTGGTCTACAGAGCTAGTTCCAGTACAGCTAGGGCTGTTACATTGAGAAACCCTGTCTCGAAGGAAAAAAAAAAAATCTCTACAAAGGATAATCGCAAGGGACTGGGCTGTAGCTCAGTGGTAGAGTGCTTTCTTAGCACTCTCAAGCCCTTAGTTTTGGTTTCTTTTTTCCCCGGATTTAGTAATGAGTGTGCCAGAGATTTGCAGGGTAAGAAAATAAGGATCAGGTTGGGGAGAATGCTCGGTGGTTAAAGCACTTCCCTACAAGCACAGAGACCTGAGTTCAAATCCAGGAACCAGCTAGTAGAGGTGGCTGGCTTCTGTATCGCCAGTGCTGGTACCCTGAGAGGCAGGCCAGTCTAGATGAACCTGAGCTCCAGGTTCAGTAAGAGAACTTGTCCGGGAAGGAGAAGTAGATAAAGGTCCTTGCTGCCAGGCCTAACAACGTCAATCCCCGACATGGTCAGAGTGCAGAACCAACCTCTGGCAGCTGCCTCTGACATCCACATGTGCGCATGTAAGACCTAAATAAATACATGTGATATAAAATCATCACCAAGCAGATGAGCCAACAGTGAGTTTCATTAGGGTTGTTTGTAGGATCCTGAGTTAAGACAGTCTATAGAGCGAGTTCCAAGATGGCCAGGGCTACACAGAGAAACCCTGTCTTCAAAAACCAAAAGCAAAATAAAATTTAAAAAAAAAAATAAGAAAAAGGACCAAAAGTTTTCCTGAGGGGAAAAAAAAGAAAACTATATGAATTCACATTCTGACCTCATCAAATCTGGGACTATGCGCTCTACCCCCCACCTATTTAAGATTTACTTATGTGGATGGGTGTTTCGCTTGCACTATGTGTGTGCCTGATGCCTGCACAGTTCAAACGTGGGCATCACATCCTCGTGAACTGGAGTTACAGCAAGCGGGTGTTGGGAACTGAGCCTGGGTCCTCTCTGCAAGAGCAGTCGGTGCTCTTTAAGAGCTAAACCATCTCTCCTGGCAGTGGCTACTTAACCATTCCTTCTTACATTTCTTCAGGGTGTGGGTGCACATGTGAAGGAGGAGCACTCACATGTGACGGAGAGGACAGCAACCTGCAGCAGCCGGGCTTCTACCACGTGAGTCCTGGAGAAGCCTCTGGCCCTCCACAGGTAGGGGTGCCCATACACATCACACACGATAATAGTGATATATTGGTAAACAGCTAAGAAGCTAAGTAATAATAATAATAAAAAGTTAAGAATAAGGATCAGAGGGGCTGGAGAGATGGCTTAGCGGTTAAGAGCATTGTCTGCTCTTCCAAAGGTCTTGAGTTCAATTCCCAGCAACCACATGGTGGCTTACATCTGTAATGGGGTCTGGTGCCCTCTTCTGGCCTGTAGGCACATACACAGACAGAATATTGTATACATAATAAATAAATATTTTTTTTAAAAAAAATAAGGATCAGAAATTGTTTCTTTCCTGTCTTTATTACTATACAATGCCAGCTCACAATGCTGTTACGAACCTTATATATAAAAGGCAAAACAAAACAAAAACTTATAAACAAAACAAAAAATAAATAACAGAATAATACTTTTATAAAAGGGCAAAACAATGATTAGAGTTGTTTTTGACATTTTCCTCTGAAAAGCTAATTTAGTCCACTTCCCTCTCTTTGGGCGAAGGGAGGACTTGAACAAATCTCCATGTTATCCTGGGCCTGTAATCATCAGAGACTGCCAAGGAGAAGACACAGTCGGGTCAGTAAGGAAGCCTTTAACACAGGCACTTAAGACGGACATGCAGGGGGCCTGAGTTCCAGGCTAGCTACTGATGTAGTCAAGTGCCAGGTGAGCCAGGACTACAAGGTAAGACCCTGTCACCAAAAAAAACAACACAAAACAAAATTACCGAATGAAGGAAACCACTCAGTTTCTCGAAGGGAGTCTGCCTGACTGGCAGCAGCCTATCAGGTGAGGACAGACCTCAAAGACGGACAGACTTTTCTTAATCACATAAGCCTTTTGGGGTCTATTTTTTCCAGGTGAACCAGAGGTTTGAGCTGCTCAGCAAAATTCCTCATGTCATCAGAGACCATGTCCTGCCCAGCTGGTGCGACAACACTCAATTCCACAAGATAGGAGAGTGACAGGGCCTCTGTGCTGTCTGTGTTCCCTGGGACCAGGATTCGGAAAATCTTGTACACCACAATCTTCATGATGCCCTTACGGAACAAGTGCCCTTTAGCGACAAACTCATGGTCCATACGGAAGCCCATTTCCATCAAGAAGTCCGTGAGGTTCTCAGATGTGGCAATGTCCACACAGTTGCGCACCAAGGCATGGCGGTTCTTGTCTCCCATTTCTGGCTGTCCCAGGTAACGCAGGTGCCAGGGTGCCCCTGCCCTGTCCATGGAGCGCCGAGCCCTTAGAACGAACGGGCTGGCTTGCTGGCCCTTCAGGAGGAATACCATCTCGTGATCAAGGAAAGTCTCGGGCTCCATGTTGTCACACAAACCACGAAGGCGATGAATGAGACTTTCCAAACTGTGGTCTAAGACACTTCCTGAAGAGGAGAAAAGACAATGAGCCCTGGCTTTCACTAAGGGTCTTGAAACTAACAAAAGATAAACACACACAAAAGAAATAAATAGTTAAGCTGGGCGGTAGTGGCATAGGCCTTTAATCCCAGCACTCAGAAGACAGAGACAGGTGGATCACTGAGTTCGAGGCCAGCCTGGTCTACAAGTGCTAGTTCCAGTTCTAGGACAGGCTCCAAAGCTACAGAGAAACACTGTCTCAAAAAACAAAAACAAAAGGAAGGAAGGAAGAAAGGAGGGGGGGAGGGAGGGATGGAGGAGGGGGGGAGGGAGGGATGGAGGAGGGAGGGAGGGAGGGAGGGAGGGAGGGAGGGAGGGAAGGAAGGAAGGAAGGAAGGAAGGAAGGAAGGAAGAGTTCTGTTCACTGTTTCCTATGAACACTCCATGGGATTCTACGGTTCTCTCTCTCCACCATGCAGGTCCCACAGATTGAACTCAGGCTTTGGAGCAAGTGCCCTTTGGTGGTTGGAGTAAGAATGGCCCCCACAGGCTCTTATATTACAAAGTCTAGACCCTAGTCGATGGATGGGTTAGGGAAAGATTAGGAAGCATGTATTTGTTGGAGGAGATATGTCACTGGGAGTAGACTCTTGGGGTTCTGCGTTTTCAAAAGCCCACGCCAGAACCAGTGTCTCTCTGCCAGTAGATCAGGCTGTAGCTCTCAGCTACTGTTCCAGCACCTACCTGCTTACAGCCATGCTCCCCGCCATGATGATCATGAACCAACCCTCTGAAACTGTGAGCAAGCCTGCAATAAATGCTTTCTTTTTGGGGGGGTGGAGATGGAGATGGTTTGAGAAAGTGTTTCTCTGTTAAACACTCCAGGTTGTCTTGGAACTCACTCTGTAGACTAGGCTGGCCTCGAACTCACAGAGATCCGCCTGTCTCTGCCTCCCGAGTGCTGGGATTAATGGTGTGCACCACCACCGCCCAGCTAAGACCCTGTCTTTTCTTTTTCTTTTCTTTTTCTTTTTAAAAGATTAATTTATATATGTTATGTATCTGAGCGCTTTATCTGCATGTACACCTTTAAGACAGAAGAGAGCATCAGATTCCACTAGAGATGGTTGTGAGCCACCATGTGGTTGCTGGGAATTGAACTCAGAACCTCTGGAAGAGCAGCCAGTGCTCTTAACCACTGAGCCATTTCTCCAGCCCAACCCTGTATTAAAAACCAAAATCAATCAAACAAACAAACAACAAATCACCCCCCTAAAAGATTCAAGTAAGTATATATAACACTTAAGATACTTGGTACAGAGCAGAAATTTAGAAAAACAGACTCACCAGAACCTGGTGGTCCAGGCCTGCAATTCTAGCCAATAAGGAGTCCAAAGCAAAAACATAGCATGGTCAGGGCTTGCCTGCGCTATATAGCAAATTCAAGACCAGTCTGGGTAATTGAGAGTTTCTCAACAGTTTTAAAAAGGGCTATGATGGGGCTGGAGAGATGGCTCAGCCGTTAAAGGCTAGGCTCACAACCATAAATATAACAAGGGCTATGATGGGGCTGGGGAGATGGCTCAGCCGTTAAAGGCTAGGCTCACAACCATAAATATAACAAGGACTATGATATAACTCAGTGGCAGATTGCTTGCCTTGGATGTTTAAAGCCCTAAGTTCAATATCAGTACTCAAAATAAAATCCTGCACACCCCCAAAAATCTATTTATTTTTAAAGGCAAGGTCTCGCCCAAGATGTTTTAAGGCCCTAGAACTTACTATGTAGCTCAGGTTAGCCCTGAACTCAGCAATTCTCATGTCTCAACCTCCTAATTGCTGGTATTACAGACATGAACTATCACAAACAGTTTCACACACACACACACACACACACACACACACACACACACACACAATTTTGGAAACAGGGTCTCTCTTTGTAGCCCTGGCTGTCCTGGAGCTCACTATGAAGACAAAAATGGCCTCAGTATCATAAGAACCACCTGCTTCTGCCTCCAGAGTGCTGGAATTAAAGGTGTGACCACACCTGGCAGTTTATCATAATTTCAAAAAATGTAAATTCTGTCATAGGACATAATTCTGTCAAGGCCATAATGCCAAGTGAAGGAAGCCAGTCACAAAACCAGTTATTTCACTTCTAGAGGGCACCAGGCAGCCAATATAGGAAACAGTGGGAAGGTGAGCGGGAAGGGCTAGGGAGGAGAGAAGAAATAATGGCTACTGAGTCTTAATTTTTCAGGTTGAAAGAAAATAAACGAATCGGGGTTGTGGTGGCCTATGTCTTTTAATCCCAGTACTAGGAGGCAAGAGACAGGGTGAGTTCGAGGACAGCCTGGTCTACAGATGGAGTTCCAGGACAGCCAGCGCTACACAGTGAAACCTTGTATTTAAAAACAAAAACAAAAACAAGAACAAGCAAGTGTTGTGTTGCACGTCTGTAAACCCGCAGGCTCCGGAGGCCAGCCTGGTCTACTTGGTGAATTCCTGGCCTCAGAATCATTCCCGCGCTACCTTCTTTCAAAGATAGTTACTTGCTAGGCGACAGAAATTGTGTAGCTGTCTTTGTTAACTTTACCTCAACTTCCTCTGACCAGAGCAATGCAGGCTCCCCCGCTCACTTACCCTGCAGGAGGTACTCCATCATGTTAATGGTGCCCCCAGTGACTGGCATCATGGTAACTGGAGGAGCCTCCATGATGTCTCTGATTTGGCTCCAGAGGAGAAAACTGGAAACAGATCTTCCGATAGACTAAGCACTGGACACACCTGGAAGAGTCACATTCGTCCTTATGCTGGGGTCGTTGGTAGTGTGGGCTAACACATTTGCTGTCCCACCTGCCTTGAAATCAAGACCTGTTCATTCAGAACTTCGAACATCTGGGGTTTTTTTTTGGGGGGGGGGGGGGACGCTTTTCTTTCTTTTTTGTTTTTCTGTTTGTTTTTTTCAAGACAGGGTTTCTCTATGTAGCTTTTGGTTCCTGTCCTGGAACTAGCTCTTGTAGACCAAGCTGGCCTCGAACTCACAGAGATCCACCTGTCTCTGCCTCCCAAGTGCTGGGATTAAAGGCGTGTGCCATCACCGCCTGTGAACATCTGTTTACACAGCCAATTCCAAGAACGGATGACACAGAAACAGAGAGTTCTGGCCACGGAGACGCGGCATAACCATCCAGTCTCGAGTGCTGAACCCTCTAAAAGGTTCCTCTGTAATTTTTTTTGTTTGTTTGTTTGTTTTTGTTTTTCGAGACAGGGTTTCGCTGTACTTTTCGAGCCCATCCTGGAACTAGCTCTTGTAGACCAGGTAGGCCTCGAACTCACAGAGATCCACCTGCCTCTGCCTCCCGAGTTGCTGGGATTAAAGGCATGCGCCACCACTCCCCAGGGTACTTAAGTGATCCCCCCAAAAGAACACATGGTCCCCCTTTCTTCCTCCCAGGATTGCGTTCCTGAGGCTTCCCGGTTTCCCCCTCGGGGCCGCCCGAGAGCACAGATCTCCCATTAAACCTGGATATTTCTTAATTTGGCTTGTTTTGATTTGGCTTGATTGGGAATTTTTGCGTCGTCAGAGAGGTCGCTTAGGAAATATTCCTAACAAGGCCATCCTCTGTAATCTTGAGGCAGCTGTGCAACCTCTTGTTCGGGAACCTACTGTCTCTCTCTTTTTAAATAAGGCCAGGAAGCCGGGCGGTGGTGGCGCACGCCTTTAATCCCAGCATTTAGGAGGCAGAGGCAGGCGGATCCTTGTGAGTTCGAGACCAGCCTGGTCTACAAGAGCTAGTTCCAGGACAGGCTCCAAAACCACAGAGAAACCCTGTCTCGAAAAACCAAGAAATAAATAAATAAATAAATAAGGCCAGGAACATTTAACCACTCAGCTCTCCTCCCCCAGCTACGTGGCTCAAATGAAACAACTGACATACAACTAAATTAAAAAAAGGTGAAGTCACCTTGGGCTAAACAGAGAGACCCCGTTTCGAAACAAATAAAAGCTGGCCGTGTTGGGGCACATCCGTAATCTCAATACTCGGGAGCTGAGTTAGGAAGACGGCTACAAGTTCGAGGCCAGACTGGTCTACCCATCATTCTAAGGACGCCACGGAGACACAAGGAGAGGCGCCAGGGTACACGTGGGGGTCCGACTAGAACGTCTTTTCAAACGAGTCAGGCGGGAATCGTGAAGTTCAAGTGATTGCACCGGTCCTCCCACGCGGAGATCCCGGGCACGTGTGCACTTACACTAGTACCACGGCTCCGTGCACGCTGTAGCTCTTCGCAAAGCTGGAAGTAAATCCAAGCGTGCACACTCGCAAACCGTATTCCCCAAATACCCAAATCTCGCCGGCGAGGGCCCAGCCGAACCTCCGTAAAGACTGCCTTCCACACTTCCGACAGGAAGCTGATGGACAGGAAACCTCGCCACTGAACCCGGAGAAGTACGGGTGCCGAGAGGGCAAGGGAGGCGTCCGCCTTCTGGCACCGGCGGGCAAGAACGCATGTGCAAAGTGCATTGCTGCGCTATGATGGGGTCCTATTAAAGAGTGGTGCACTGGGAAGTAGCTGCAGGGCTTACGTCATAGGACAGCTCTAGGATTAGGTGTCCCCCCCCCCCCCCCCCCCCCCCCCCCCCCCGGCTTCGACTCGACTACCTGAACGTTTCAATTGGATCTCTCGAAACTGATTGGATACTATATTTAAATTGTGAGCTCAGCCAGTGGGGGGAGCGAGGAGGGGAAGAGTCGCATTGAAAAAGAAGAGTATGTTTTAAATCGGAGACACTCTATGAGATACCTGAAGGTGACCAAGTGACGATGCGCTCCCCAGCTAAGCATAGCATTGTGTCGTTATGGACCTCAGTAGTAACTCTTAATATTTTGTGTGTTTTCAAGAGTCTGGAGAAATAGCTCAGTGCTAGAGCCTTCCCTGGCGTATGCAAGGCTGTAAGTTGAATACGGAACAACAGCAAACGTTCAGTTTATTGTCCCTACCTCAACTTTAAACACAGGGGACCAGGCAAGTATGATTCTGAGACCCTCAGAAGGCAAGGATCTCTCCAGCAGAGCTGTTCAAGACTTAAACAACATTGTGAGACTTCTCAAAAATAAATAAAACGGGGCTAAAGAGGTGGCTCAGCAGTTAAGAGCGCTTGCTGCTCATGCAGAGTTCCCCAACACCCACTCTGTCATCTGAATTCCTCCTCCAGCCGATCCTTTTCTGCCCTCCTCAGACACCCCGTCCATATGGTGCACACACATACATGCAGGCAAAACACTCATAACGCACAAATATAAACGAGCTAAATTAAATAAATAGGGGCTGGGAAGATGGCCAAGTGGTTGAGAGCACTTGCTGCTCTTGCAGAGGACCTGGGTTCAGTTCCCAACACTTATATCAAGTGACTCACAACCCTCTAGCTCCAAAGGATCTGACACCGTCATCTATGGGACATATACAGGACATATATGGTGCACATTAATTCATTCAGGTACACACACATACACATTCAATAAATAAATGGAGATTTGAACTTTAACAAGTACTTAATCGAACTCTGTACATACACCAAGCACATAGAGTACCAGTGTCAGCTCAGATCCCATCCCTGCCAACTGATATATAAAATTTGCTTGCTTTTCTCCCATCTTTGCTCTTCTTTCTGCTCCCCCCATAATCTTGACTGCTTGATCTCTAATAAATCTTTCATTCTATTCATAGAATGATCTAGTTTAGTGTAGGAATTTATCTGCACCATTGCTTATAATACTCACTTGGAATGCAAATTTTTTTTAATATTTATTTATTTATTTATTATGTATACAATATTCTGTCTGTATGCCTGAAGGCCAGAAGAGGGCGCCAGACCTCTTTACAGATGGTTGTGAACCATGTGGTTGCTGGGAATTGAACTCAGGACCTTTGGAAGAGCAGGCAATGCTCTTAACCACTGAGCCATCTCTCCAGCCCCTTGGAATGCAAAATTTAAGACAATATCAAGAAATGGAGTATCGGCCAGGTGATGGTGGCACACGCCTTTAATCCCAGCACTTGAGAGGCAGAGGCATGTGGATCTCCAAGTTCAGCACCAGACTGGTCTAGAGAGTGAGTTCCAGGAGAGCCAGAGCTGCACAGAGAAATTCTGTCTCTAAAAAGAAAGAGAGACGCCTGTCACGCGGGAGACCGTGGTTCGATTCCCCGACAGGGAGCCAAAAAGAAAAAAAAAGAAAAAGAAAAAGAAAGAGAGAGAGAGAGAAACAGAGACACAGAGAGACAGAAAGAGCTCAGTGGTACAGGGCTTTTTGCTTCATACCTGAGGCCCTAGGCTTGATCCTGAGTATTATAATACTAATTGTAGAATATTAGTTAAAGATGTTACATTTGTTTATGCTGTGGAATACTTGTTTAATGATACAAAGATATGTTGTATTCTTTTATTTTGTGTTTGTTTCACTCTGTGAAGCTGTGTTACTTTGCCTGTCTGAAACATTTGGTCTAATAATAGCAAGGCAGGAGAAAGGCTAGGCAGGACTGGCAGGCAGGAGAGAATAAATAGGAGAAGAAATCTGGAGGAGATGGAGGAACAAATGAAGGAGGAGGAAAGGAGGGCATCAGGGACCAGTCACCTAGCTACACAGTAAGTTATGGAGTAAGCAGTAAGGAAAGGTAAGAGCCTAGGGCAAAAGATAGACGGGAAATTTTAAATTAAGAAAAACTGACTAGAAACAAGTCAAGCTAAGGCTGGGAATTTATAAATAATAATAAGAATCCATGTGATTATTTGGGAGCTGAGTGGTAGGCCACCCAAAGAGCCAAAAGAGTAGACCAAAACAAACAAACAAACAACAACAACAACAAAATAACCAACAGGAGGCTGGAGAGATGACTCAGAGGTTGAAAACACTGGCTGATCTTCCAGAGGTTCTGAGTTCAATTCCCAGCAGCCACATGGTAACTCACAACCATCCGTAATGAGATTTGGCGCCCTCTTATGGTCTGCAGGCATACATGCAGGCCGAACACTATATACATAATAAATAAATCCTTAATTTGAAAAAAAAAAATTGGACAATGATAAGGGCATATGCCATGCAGTGATGGTTCACACCTTTAATCTCAGCACTTGAGGGGCAGAGGCAGGTGGATCTCTGTGAGTTCGAAGCCAGCCTGGACTACAGTGTGATTTCCAGGGTAGCCAAGGCTACACTAAGAAAACCTGTCTCAGGGCCTGGTGGTGCACACTTGTAATCCCAACACTCGGAGAGAGATAGAGACTCGCCCAGGGTTGCACTGCTAGCAAATGTCGGAGCTCGTATTTAAATTCAGTTCTCTGTGACACAGTCATTCCCATCTCTGTGAAGGTAAAAGCATGGCCATTAAATGATGATAAGCTCTGCCCACATCCTCTTTACTTCCCTGGCCACCTACTGCCAATCATCCCCGTCTGTGCCACTCCCTCCAGCCATGCTGATCTCAGGATCTAACTTCTGCCTGCCAAAGATGCTTCAGTCTTCTTCAGGTTGCACAGTCTGAAATCTTTCTCCTGCCCCGAGCTTCAGGGTCCATTCTCTCCATTTCTAGCTCCCCGCCAATCTTTTTTCTTTTTAACATGTATTTATTTGTGTGTGTGTGTGTGTGTGTGTGTGTGTGTGTGTAAGTGTGTGAGGGAGGGCATATGTGTGTGCCTGTCATCAAACCTGTGGAGCCTAGAGTCAGTTGCAACAGTTGCAGCTCAAGAGCCCTTCACCTTGAGTGTTTTGAAACAGAGTCTCTCATTTGTCCCAAGGCTCGCTAAGTAGGCTGACTGGGCAGCAAGATCCATAGCTCTCCCTGTCTCTGTGGTCCCTGCACAGGGATGCATGCATGCCACCATCCTTCTCTTTTTTTCCGTGGGTTCTGGTACTTGAACTCAGAGCTTCATCTTGCAAAGCAAGCACTTTACTAACCCAGCCATCCTCCCAGCCTCTCAAATCTTCCTCCCCTTCCCCCAAGGATGCCTTTTCTGGCCACCTGTTTACATTTGAAATCTAAGCCGGATATGGTGGAGTGTACCTGTCATGCCAGCTGCTCAGGAAGCTGAGGCAGGAGGACCACTGAACACCAGCAGTTGGAGGTCGGGCGGTAACATGAAATAACAAATGAGGGACTGTTGAGATGGTTCAGCAGGTGAAAGACTGTCCAGTAACCTGAGTGTGATCCCCGGATCACATGATGGAAAGAGCCAACTAACTCCCAGAAGTTAGTCTGTGATGTACACTGTGCATGACCACACGCACATTATACATACACCAATAATAAGTTAAAGAAACAAGCCGGGCGGTGGTGGCGCACGCCTTTAATCCCAGCACTTGGGAGGCAGAGGCAGGCGGATCTTTGTGAGTTCGAGACCAGCCTGGTCTACAAGAGCTAGTTCCAGGATAGGCTCCAAAACCACAGAGAAACCCTGTCTCGAAAAACCAAGAAAAAAAAAAAAAGAAACAAAGCTTGGTGTGGCACACACCTTGAAGTCCAGCACTAGGGAGGCAGAGGCAGGAGGATCTCTGTGAATTCAAGGCCAATCTGGTCTACAAAGGGAGTTCCAGGACAGCCAGAACTGTTTCACAGAGAAACCCTGTCTCATAAAACAAGACAGATTAAGAAAGATAAAAAGATAGATAGATAGATAGATAGATAGATAGATAGATAGATATCTAGAGTTAGATAGATGGCCAGGCTGTGGTGGCGCACACCTTTAATCACAACATTCTGGAGGCAGAGGCAGGTGGTTCTCTGTGAGTTCAAAGCCAGCCTCAGCTACAGAGTGAGTTCCAGGATTGGCTCCATAGCTACTGAGGAACCCTATCTCGAAAAACAAAAACAAAAAAGATAGAGTGATAGATAGATAGATAATAAAACCCTATATCTAGATAGATAGATAGATAGATAGATAGATAATAAAACCATTGTTTGTGAACATAAAGGTGCTTGCCTATAATCCCCAAGATTTGGGAAACAGGATTGCAAGTTCAATCTGTTGAAAACAGTTCAAGTCCAGCCTAGCCACATAATAAGATCCTCTCTTAAGAAGATATTGAGTGGGATATAGTTCAGTGACAAAGTAGGTGCCTAGCACATAAAATATCAAGGGCCAGCAGGGTATAGTAGCACGAGCCTTTAATCCCAGCAAAAGAATCAGGAGTTCAAACCGAGTGGTGACACATGCCTTTAATCCCAGCACTTGGGAGGCAGAGGCAGGCAGATCTCTGTGAGTTCGAGGCCAGCCTGTTCTACAAGAACTAGTTCCAGGACAGGCTGCAAAGCTACAGAGAAACCAACTGTGTCTTGAAAAAAACAAAACAAAAAAAAAAAAAAAAAAAAAAAAGAATCAGGAGTTCAAGGTCATCCCTGGCTA